ACACGAAAGGAGTTTGAAGATGCCAACTGTGAGTTGTTCAATCGTTGTTTTTTGTCTGTGGAACGTGTTCTTTCGAGTGGTAAAATTAAACCAAAAGAAGTTGAGGAGGTTGTTTTAGTTGGTGGATCTACGAAAATCCCCAAAATCGAGACGATGGTCCAGCAATATTTTGGGAGAAAACCATGCAAAGACGTCGATCCAGACAAAGCAGTTGCAACAGGAGCAGCACTTCACGCTGCTTCTTTGAATGGCCAAGCAACTGAAATCGGCAAGTTGGTAGATGTTACGGCGAAATCGCTTGGAATTGAAATTTGCGAAACAAATATGGAAGTAGTCATTGGCAAATTCAAAAGCATTCCATGCAAAGAGTCAAAAACATTTGTGACAGACCAAGACAATCAGGACTTTGCTCGTTTTTGTGTGTTCGAAGGAGAAAGCGAAAAGACAGAGAACAATGAATATCTTGATGGGTTCACCATATCTGGTCTGCCCAAACTTAAAAAAGGAAAAGTGAAATTCAGAGTAACTTTTACTGTTGATGTCAATGCTCTTCTTACTGTCTCCGCTGTTGTAGTCGAGCCAAAAGCACTCAGTGATCTTCAAGGCCATTGCAATGTCCAAACACAACGAGAGAGAATGTCCGAGGAAACAATCTTAATGAGGAGAGCGATGATTGACAAAATGGACAAAATAGACGACGAAAACTTAAAGAAAAGTGTTGCCGAACAGCAATATAAAAAGCTTGTCAGGTCGTATCAAGAAAAGACAAAAAATGACTCAAAGGCGTGCGAGGTTTCAAAAAAACTTACCACTTGGTGGAACGAGTCCTTTTCAAGTTCCGACTCGGAGTCGTTGATGGCTAAGTTACACGACTTTGAAGGTCAGTTGAATAGTATATAACGACAAGAACTGGTGCTAACACTAGTGAGTCATTCTTTTTATTTTCATGTTCAAGAATCAAGTGTGTTATGCAAATAGTAAATAATACGTTTATTATGCTTTGTTATTACAAAAGGAATAAAAAACCGCTTCCTATCGTTTTAATAGTTTTAACTAATAACATTATAATAAAAAGTATAATACGAATTACCACTTTATACAGAAAAAGTCTCCTCGAGGCATATTCAGCCTTCATGGTAAACAGTACTATACATTTTATTATAATCATATTATTAAAATTTATAAAATCAAGTGGAAGCGGTTAAAAAGACGGAAGCGGTTTTTTGTCGAGTCAAATCCATGCATAAAACGTTAGAACTTAGAAACCTTTATTTAATATACAAATTTGCAGTTATAACATTACAATTACTTTTTATTCATTGAGTTTTTTTATTGGATATTGAAAAAAAGAAATTCAGCAAATTATGAAAAATAATATAACATTCGGCAAACAAAATAATAATAATTTTTTGTTATTCAATATTTTAAAAATTAATAACAAAAAAACTAAACTTGACAGAAAAAAATATATTAATGATCGATATTAAAGTATTTATAATATTTTTTATATTTATAGAAAAAAACGCAAGTTTTTGCGTCTCGTGCATTTTGTTTAAGAAAAAAAATACTCTTGGCTGGTTAACTGAGTTTATACTTACTA